ACTTTGCGCTTTGTGGAGAGAGACAGTCAAGCAGTTTCTTCAACTTAGTGCACATACGAAACGTTGCAAAACTAGAGGATAGTTCCTTATCAAACGGAAAGACTACGAGGATCAACTGGGAATTCTTGCATTCTCCTAAATTCTTTCGCATTGTTTCCGATTGTTTTGCTTTCTTTGCAATTTTTTTTGTCTAGCCAATATATTTTTACTTTTTATTCTTGCATTTTATTTCTGCCTTACATTTTTTATGTTTCTGCACTGCAGCCGCAGCTGGGGATGAAGGTCGGCGGCGTGCCGACGTGCTCGCGCCGCTCGCGCGCCATATACCCTTAAAGACAGGCTCGCCATTATTCGCAGGGTTTGGCATTTGCGTGTAAACGAGCTCACTTCTTCCCACTTCCCCTCTGTTCCGCCGGTCGCAGCGGAATTCTCCTCCCGAGCCGCCGCCGCCGCCGCCTTGGTCGTCGTCGTCGTCGTCGTCGTCCTAGTATGCCGAAATCACGAAGCCGGTGAACCGCACGCCGCCGTGGTCGGAGCCAGCCAGCGGCCGGGCCGCCGGGCTGGTTGGGAGGGAATTACCCTTTCATGAGGTAGGCTAGGGCGGCGCCGCTGACCTGAAGGCGGCGTTCTGCACCGACATGAAGACCCCCAGGGTTATGAATAGAAAATGGACGAGCGAGCAGCAAAACAGCGGAGGACGAGGCGACGATTGTGAGACAGGAACACGTTTGCTTTACTGCTCAAAAGGAGGACGAGGGGAAGAAAACAAAACGCAGCAGCAGCAGCAAAGTAGTGAGGAGGATTGGTTTGGTTGGTGGCCCGGGGGGGGGGGGGGCATCCAAGCTCACAGCGCGTTAAATTAGAGTTCCGGCTCATTTAGCTGGACGGTCATGCAGTGCGAGAGAGGCGGGGCGCGCGGCGGAGTGTTCGGGTGACGCGACGGGTGAGAGTGAGCGAGACAGAGAGCACACACTCCCGTCACCTCACCCTCTCTCGCTCGCTCGCACTCCCAAACTTCGCTGGCCGCTGTAATGACGCCACGCCCCGCCCCCGGCCGCTGCGCGTTGTCAGGGGGTCCGCTGCTGCGGGACACGACAACGTAATGGAGGAACGAGAAATAGAACCAATGAATAACCGGGGAGCGGCAGGGGCAGGG